CGCCCCAGGCAGGTGTGGCGCGCTCCAGACAGGTGGCGCGCGCACCAGGCAGCTGGAGCGCGCTCCAGGCAGCTCGAGCTCGCTCCAGGCAGCTGGAGCTCGCTCCAGGCAGCTGGAGCGCGCTCCAGGCTGCTGGAGCGCGCTCCAGGCTGCTGGAGCGCACTCCAGGAAGTTGGTCGCCAAATGATTTTTGCAAGTTAACTGCTCCGGAATATGTATTTTCCGGACCAGTTAACTTGCAAAAATCATTTGAGGACCTTCCCGATTGAATTGTTTGCTGAAATTTTGTATGGATGAACTAGACTTGATGAGGAACATACACAAAAAATTTGAGCAAAAAATGCCACCGGGAAGGCCCCCAAAAGGAGGAGGCCGAACGGCGCTCTGGTCAGGAAATTCCTGACCGGAAGATTACTCTTAAAAATTTATGCTTTTGAATATTACAAACAATATATCGTGCGCTTTGATTATATTTTTCTTCATAAGGAGATTTTTATTCAATTTATCTGATTTTCAATATGATTTGTACATAGTGAATATTTTTCGTCTAAGGCCTCCGAATGCTCAAGCCGCCTCTGTATATTGGGAACTACATGTACTACTATAGATGAAGCGTTGAGCTTCTCCCAATGTTGTAAAACTGAAATTTGAAGTTCCTTTGCGAAAAGGAAAGAAGGCTTGAGAGATCTGCACTAAGAACGCATTCTAAAGTTAAAGGAAATGAAAAGAAGTTTTGACCAACTTGTATGTTGTTAAACTATTTGAAGTGAAAAAATGCATAAAGCAAAGAATCTTGACTTAATCTTAACTTTATTATACGTTGCTTTGCAAATTCCCAACAAAATGTCACTAAATATCCTCCGGAAACTGCAATTTACAACAACAATATCATAAATTAGAACTACACACAATTTCTATCAGGAAAATCATAAACACAAATTCAACAATAGAATCGCACATAAACACAAACATAGAGAAAATTTCACCACGTTAGAATAAAAACGGCGTGAAAATATTTGTCTACGAAATCTTAGACATAATTTACAAGAAAAACAGATCCATGAGTGCAGCATTCAAGATCAGTGTTGGAAAAATGTGTTAAATTGCATTAAATGTTCAATTTGGGGCAATATTTTGAGCTGGGTCCACTTTCGATTTGCGTGGGGTCAAAGTGGTTTCAGATTGTCCTTGCTAAGAGCTTCAATTCGATATGCGGTACACTCAAAACGGATAACAGGTGAATGAGAAAATGGTTTTTGAAGTTCACTCGTTGGAATGGAAAACTGGGAAAAAGGATGGGTTTCTAGTGTGGTTTTTCCCACACCGGAAAACTCAAGGGATTTTTGCCCCCTTATAAAGGTTACCATATTTGAAGGAGTTAAGATTCTTTGGTGGAAAGGCTCTCTTCATGTGCAAGGGGGTGCCGATCAAATCCCGAAAATAGAGAAGAAAGACTATGACCCGCGTGCGCGGCTGACCTGCGGACACGAATTCCGTCAGAAAATACCCAACGTTCTTATCCTTTAATGCGCTCTTTAAACGGACAATTTTCGACATATTAATTCCTAGCGTGCTGGACATTTATGTCCAACGTCCTGGTCCATTAAAGCTCAGTTAACACACCACAAATATATCCCTATATATAATTGGCAGGTGTTTTGCAACACATATCACAACACAGTTAGCACAAACGTTTTTAGCTAAATTATTCACCTCCACCTCTCTAAAATTTCCTCTAGTGTTCGTACTTTGTTCCCGTTCACCGGAAAAGCACAAACGTTTTTAGCTAAATTCACCTCCACCTTTCTATAATTTCCTCTAGTGTTCGTACTTTGTTCCCGTTCAGTGGAAAAGCCGATTGTGTGCTCATACGGTTGTTCGTAGCCACCGTATCCTAAGAAACTATCGCTGCAACGCTCCTAACACTGTGGGAGGCAGCAAATGTGTTTCAAAGGACATTGTGTGTTGCACAAGCTCTGGCTTTTCTGCTCCATCGTCTTACTTCTGTTTCTCTTTGATCATTTAATTCATTTATTTAATTAATTTTCTTTGTTTTTCGAGAACGCACCCACCATTCAACGGCCAGGTGCACCCTCTACAGAACTGGTCGCAAAGTTGTTGATTCCATGTTTTCTATGGACCCAATTGGAATATGATAAAATTATACCCATCAATTACAGCTTATAATACAAGTATTTAACAATTCAAAACAAAGGTGTAAATACCCATAAGACCACAAACAAGTAATACATGTATCATATATCAATATGTCAACATAAAAGTTCACACAAGTTAAAGATGTATAGTATTGTTGTGTATTACTACCTCCGTCCCATTTATATTGGGACGGAAGAGGGTGACACGGTTATTAAGAAAAGTGGGTTTGTGTGGTTGAGATTAATTGATAAAGTAAGAATAAAGTAAGAATGATTAAGAGCCACACAAACTTTGCCAAATATGATATGGGACAATTTAAGTGAGACTTCCCGAAAAGGTAAAACGGGACAATATAAATGGGACAGGGGGAGTAGTAAAGTGATGCTCACCCATTTTTAAAGTTGCACTGCAACTTGAACGCAACGATCTAATAATATGAAGTACTATACATAAAACTAAAAATGTAGATCCTGTGAATGTTCTGAAAATTTTAAAACCTGCAAGAAATGTCAAAGGAGATAAGAAGGGATTAACCGACTAAGGTCATTGTCTATCAAAGGAGAAATTTTATTATTAGGTCGTTATATTTCGATTGAGCCCAAATAGCAAATTAATACTAGTACAAAAAATTGATTTAGAATATACTATTGAACTATAACCTAGCGATGAGATAAATACTATCTATAAAGAAGAGAAACTTACATATACCAGAAAATGGGTTGGTGAGCGTGTGATAGTTCAAGCAATCAACTGACATTGATAGTTAATCGACATGGAGATGAAGACTCGCGGCCGACAAAGAAGCACAATCGATGTAGAATCGCTACAAATGAAGGCAGTTGCATATCGTTTGAAGGTGGGAGGTCGTTTGAAGGTGACATGCATAAGAGACGCAGATGTTCGAACGGAGGCATTAGATGGATATAAAACGCAAAAATAAGTTCATTTAAAAGAGTATACATCTTAAAATACATTCTATAACCTCATTAAGCTAGATGATTACGCCAACATTTTTTATCCCTAAAATGTCCTACTGGCAAATACTCTCTCTGTCCCATTGGACTTTGCCAAGTTTCCTTTTTTGGTTGTCCCAAAAAACTTTGCCATATTCCATTAAAGTAACTATTTTGTGGTTCTGCTCATTTCTCTCTCTTATGCATAATCTTCAACCACACAATTTTTACTATTCTTATTTCTTACCTAACTCAATTAGTGCAAAGTCCAATGGGACGGAAGTAGTATAAGATTTTAGTAAGATACTAAATTTTTCACGGCTTTTTCTCTGCTACTTTTTCCATTAGGCGTTTCATCTAGTTTTATTAGGTTTAATGTACCAAACCTAATCATGAAATATGAATTTGGGGCATTAGCCCTTTGGGGTTTAAAAATGCGCTAAACTCCCCTGTGTTACAATTATTCATGCGCAAAAATTCCCTATATGAACGAATTTAATTGTCACATTAAAAAATGATTTGTATTCCTGTATGAATTATAATTTTTGACAAAGTTACTTACATATTCAATAATATTATTCAGATAAATGATTATAAAATTGTTAAATTTGTTCTTGGAGAGAGTCTTGCGCATGAATAATTATAACATGAGTGAGTTTGACACATTTTTTTAATTACAGATGCTAATGCACTGATTTCATGTCTCACAACGGGTTTAGTGCATCAAACCATATGGTTAGAGCATCTCCATTCATGATCCTCAAATTCACGGGTTTTTATGATTGATTATTGCCACATCAGTGCCACGTAAAAAACTCAAAATTTATCAACTTCTCCTCAACCATGATCTCTATTTATTCAAATTTTATTTGGAACATGCACTGAAACTCAAAACGCATGCAGCCATATTAATTTTTTAAAAGGCGTGCAACTTATCAATTTTTAAGACAAACGATAGTGTACTTGGGTTGAAGAGTCTTAGGAGTCCGCGTTATAATCTTGAGATTGGGAGAAAGAACCTCAAAATATGTGAATAATCTTGAATAATCCTGATTTTGATATTTGATACTGGATTATTTAGTAAAAGAATCTCTTCAAATAATCTCATCTTCTCAATCATGATTTACAAAAATATCATCCACATCAACAAAATGATCCCCAAATAAACTCATGGACGTGGATGCTCTTAGGAAGTAATAATTAAGAGCCTGTTTGGTGATCCTGCTTTTCGACTTATAAGGCTTATAAGCCGGTTTTTTCGCCAAAATAAGGTTAAAGTTACTTTTCTGCTGAAGTGACTGCAGATGATCGTTTTAGCTATTTTTTATATAATTTTTTATTTTATTTATTAATAACAAATATTTTGAATATTCTTTATAAATCGGCAGAATTAGGCAATATAGCCACTTCAGTCACAACTTCATAAATTTCAGCATAATCAATCAATTCATCCAATTTCAGTACTTTTCCTACCTTTTCTCCTAGTTTTTGTGATCATGGTACCTTTTCTATTAATTAGTTGTTCTATCAATTTTCAGAACTTATTAATAGTGGTGATAATTTTTTTTTTTGTTAATCAATAAGAACGTAACATGTCTGCCATTTTAAGACATGTTGATTTACAACTATAGTCCCTGGATTTGGTTTGAGACGTACGCCTCATTTCCCGATGAACAATTGTTAAAAGTAATTATTATCATCAGATATACGCAGACATTCACTAATAATGAAACTCAACCCGTTGAACTGCCAACGGACAACGGTTTATATAATTAGCAAACATAATTATGAGCTTCTTAAATTTGGATGACAAAATCGAGCAAAGCAAAACTCTTGGTACATATATACACCCACGCTACATTGCATATATGCTTCCAATAAAGCATACCCGTGCTTTCTGGCTAATTGGTGTGAGCGACGGCCGATATATATGGACCATTTCGCGAAGCTGCCGGAGGGATGCATCTCTGAAATCGTTTCCTTCACTTCGCCGGCCGACGCATCGGCGCTTTCTGTCATCTCCAAACGCTTCAAATCGGCAACTGAGTCCGACACCGTATGGGGGAAGTTTTTGCCGTCGGATATTGATGAAATCATCTCAAAATCATCCACTCCCTTTGATTTTCCACACACGAAGAAGGAACTTTATATGTTCCTTTCTCATTCCCACATTCTCCTAGATGGAGGCAAACTGGTACGTGCATACTTACACAGTTAAATACCCTGCATTTTCAATCTCTGCTAAAATCGTTTTTCTTAAAAACGATGCCTTTCTGTTGTTCTTTGTGATACCCTTTGAAATCCTGAAAACAGGGGTTGTTTCTGGACAAAAGAACTGGAAAGAAATGTTTCATAGTTGCAGCCTCAGCACTTGATTTCACCGAGAGGAATGACTCAAATCGCATGTATATGGCTCAAGAGCTAATACGCTCCAGGTTATTCACTTATTCATTGTACGTTTTGCTTCTATTAAAGATAAAATTTGTTTTAATAAGTCAGCTATTAAATAGACTCTTTTTTAATATCGGTTGAAAGGAAAACTGATGTGGCAGTACTGAACTCAATGCAAGACAACATGTTTGATATTTTTGGTAGAATCAGCAGTGAAAAGTTATCTAAAGAAACACACTATTCATCATATTTGGTTTTCAAACTATGGCCAAAGCATGGCTACATCAACCACTCATTCAGGGGAGTGTCTAGATTTGTTGACAATGAGGGTAGAAATGTGGCTCAAGGTAGAGCTTCACACCTTATTTTTCATGAAGAAGGTGACAGAGTATGGCCTTATAATGTGGGGGTTCCTGTTTCTAGAGATGACGGGTGGTTGGAGGTGGAAATTGGAACATTTTTCAACATTGGAGGGAATCGTGGTGATGTTGAATCTTGTGTGTTTAGTGTTACGCTTCCCTTCGGTCTATTTCTCGTTGTGGGAGGAATTGAATTTCGGCCTGAAATTATTTTTGGAGGTATGATCGATTGGGGATTTTCCGAAGAATTCTTTGAAGAAAAGGCCAACTTCTAGCTAGTGACGATGAAAACAAAAGAGTAACTTGTCAGATCGATATGCATATTGACTGCAGTACACTAGTTTGCCCATGAGTACATTCTAGCTTAACAGGATCTTTCTACTATCACGAGATGTTGTAATCTCTTTCTCGTACTTGAGTATTAATGTATTTGTATAAAACATCAAGTCTGTGTCTTGATTTTATGACTCTAATATTGAGCATTATATTGTGATATATGCTATACTTGTATTGTTGAGTGTTATGAAGCTAATCTTGAGCATTGTGATATTTGATATATTAGATTCCATCAGTGCGATGTACGGGGAGTATTTTGTATAAATGTAACACACAAAGATGTCATATAACACGACATGAACAAACAATATATGCACATAACAATCATAGAAATTTCAATAATAATAATATAAAGGACAAATTCACATTAATAATCCCACATATTGACGAACTTCTCATATTAATCTCAATTATTTGTAATTCTAAAATAATCTAAACTATATGGGGCAGCTTCTAAAAATAAACCCGTGACCTGAATAAACAAGTTCAGCAAGTTGCCCGACCAGTCGACCACGTGGCTTAATATAATTGGGCTTCACATATTTTATTTTCCATTTATTTCTTTTCTTTTCCTTTTTCTTTTCTCCTCTCTTTCTCTTTGGTTGCTCTGTCTTGTTTTTCGTTCCTCGCAGTCACCTCTGCTCCGTCTCATCTCCTTCCTTCATCTACTCTTTCTTCTTCTTTGGCCTTTCCCACTTGAGCCTTAAGCAGGGAACTCTCACGAGCGGTCTTAAGGGAAATCTAGTACTCTAGTAGGAGCTCCATTCCAATAGCGTGTATTTGGAGCTCAATATGAAATAATGTTTTCTACCCATTTGGATAAGGTAACCCTTCAAAATTGATTCGGAATAAAATACTTGCTTTGGACCTTTCTTGAACTGGAGAGGATGAAAGGAAAAGGGGATAAAATGCCCAATGAAGTGACGGGAGGCAAGAATAGAAAGAAACCTTCATCCCCCCTTTTCCATACTCATATTTAAGAAAAATTAAACCTTGATGATACAGAATGAAAGTTTTGAACCTAGACAGTAGACACCATGATATGGCTCCTTCATCCTTATCCTCCCCGTTATCTTGTTTTTTTTGGAAAGTTTGTTCAATTTTATTCTGTCCAAACAGGCTCAAGATAAGGAGAATTGGAGAAAGGAGAAAAAGAGGCTTCAGAAGAGATTATCCGATGGGAGGCGACAAGAGGGAGATGGCTGAAGTTTCCCCCAGGCGTACATAACCGGAAAATATATGGGTGTTTACCTAAAGCTACAATGTGCACGGTGTGTAGCAATGTAGCATGAGAGACAATCACACGAATATTAACAAATAAAATATATCTTTCCTTATTTGAGTGATTTTATAAAATTTTGGTAACTTTTTCTCCGCAACATGTGAAGAAGATCGTCTAGATTTTGACATTATGCATGGTTGACATTGTAGAGATCGAAAAACTTACCAAAATTGTACAAAAATATTCAAATAAGTAGAGAGATAATTTATTTGCTACTCCGTAATATTTTAGTGGCTATCTCTCATGTCACATGTGCACCATGCACATTGTAGCATTGTATATACTCTAATAATCAAATTACATATTTGCATCCACTGATATTAGAGATAAAAAATAAAGTGTATTTAGGTAATTATCTCATATAGCTCCCTAATTTGCTAATTAGGTAGTTATCCATTTATCTTCGGTCACCTATTCCCGATTGTTTAGTAGTAGAGTTAAAATCACGTGCAATCAGCTCTTTCCTTGGTGATCACGTACTTCCATATTTTCGTAATTACGTAATTAGACTGTTAGAGTATAGCTTGCCGCAGCACTATAAAATCTCATGTAATCGCTCGGCTCTCTCTGAGATTTTAGTGCAAATTAAAAGACGACCGATATGGACCTTTTCGCGAAGCTGCCGGAGGGATGCATCGCTGAAATCGTTTCCTTCACTTCACCGGCCGATGCATCGGCGCTTTCGGTCATCTCTAAATGCTTCAAATCGGCGACTGAATCGGACACCGTTTGGAAGAAGTTTTTGCCGCCCGATATTGATGAAATCGTCTCAAAATCATCCATTCCCTATTATTTAGCACCTACCAAGAAGGATCTTTATGCTTTCCTTTCTCATTCTCACATTCTCTTGGATGGAGGCAAATTGGTACGTTCATCCTTAAATAGTTAATTAAACACCCTGTTTTTTTAATCTCTGTAGCATATACTCCTTACATACGAATAAGTTAAATTGTTTTTTTTAATAGGCTTATGCATATGCTAATTTTAAATTACTATTGTGATTTTTTGTGAATCTGTTTCTTTTTCTCTGATGAGAAATTGGTCGATTTAGAACTAAAACATAGACAAAATTCAAAAATATGACCAAACATGTTTTATTCCTCAAATAGGATATATTATGTCATACTAAATTAATAAATTTATACTCCGTAAGTTGGATTAAAACTTCCCAAAATATGAGTGAATGACTCCTATTTTGGGTATATATAATATTATGATAATCATATTTATGAATTTAGTTCTATTTTCTCTATTCTGATAACCTTTGAAATCTTGAAAATAGGGTTTCTTTCTCGACAAAAGTTCCGGGAAAAAGTGTTTCATAGTTCCACCCTCAGAACTTGTTTTCCCCACGAAGAATTATTCAAATATTCCGATTATGGTACAAGAGCTAAAATTCTCCAGGTTATTCACTGCACATGTTCTTTTCTTTAATAATGACGGGATATTCAACGTTTGGCTTCTACTTAATTATATGGTTTCTTTTAATAAGTCAAATATTAAATAAATCTTTTTTCGATTAAGGTCTATTGATGTGGCTGTATTGAACTCAATGGATGGTAGCATGTTTTACATTTTTGGGAGAATCAGCAGCGAAAAGCTATCTGAAGAAACACACTACTCATCCTATTTGGTGTGCAAACGATCACCGAAGCATAGCTACCTCAATACCTCATTCAGCGTAAGGTGTAGATTTGTTGACAATGAGGGTAGAGTTGTGGGTGTAAGTGGAGGTAAGGAGTTTCGAGTTCCCGTTTGTAGAGATGACGGGTGGTTGGAGGTGGAAATTGGGAGTTTTTTTAACGCGGGAGGGAATCACAACAATGTCGAATCTTGTGTGTCAAGTCTTAGTCTCCGGTTAGGACAATCCCTCATTGTGCGAGGGATTGAATTTCGGCCGAGCTGAAACTACTTTTGGAGGTATGAGAGATTGTAGATTTTTTAAAGAATTCTTGGAATAAAAATAGAACCTCTAGTTAGAGAACAATATCTAGCTAGTGATGTGAAGCGAAAAAAAAGTAACTTTTCATCTTGATATACATATTGACTAGACTAGTTTGCCCATGAGTACATAAACATTCTAGCTTGACGGTTGGGTGTATTTGTTATCAATTTGCCCATGTGAATGGCCCTGCTAAGAATAATCGTAAAATTCAATACCTAATCTATTTATCCATGGTTGTGTAAAAAAAAATCTATTTATCCATGGTAAGGAAATCGAAATTCCTGAGTTTGAATGCATCTTTTACCCAGTCACTTCTCCAGGCCGAGTTTATGTGACTTGAGAATATAGTCACTCGATTTTTTTAAGCCATCAACACTTAATATAACATTAATCCGGCTTATGAATTTCAAATTTATTACACTTTTCTTTGAGTTACTTAGTAAGATACCATATAAAAAAAGGACATTATATATATTGAATTTGTGTTTAAATTAACTGATATATTTGCTACATGGTCAAATAATTTGAATACTTGATTTCTTTAATTTAGTAATAAAAACAATCACTGTTATTACATTTTTTGTATTAGCAATAGGCATTGACAAATATTTCTATATATCGGAGAAAGGGGGCTGAATTGATATTACTACGTATAATATGTGCTGCATTGTGCATAATACATCAATTAGAGAAAAGAATCTGAAGTACCATACATAATCGTTAAATAAGCAAAACAAAGCGGAAGAGTATTGTCACTGTTAGGAACCATTGGGCAATGGAGGCTGGCGCAGCAACCTTGTGAAGGCAGTTTGTAGCCGGGTTTCTAGGGATCGGGATTCTCTGCCTGGCTTTGGCAGCCAGGTAGGGTGCGTGGCTATTACAGCCACGCGATTCACTCTCCCTCTTCCAGCAGCTCTCTTCTTCTTTGTTGCTTGTTGTTGGATTGACGCAAGGCACCTCTGCCGCACGGCAAAGGATCCAAATCCGGTTCCTAGCCAGCCCTGCATTTGCAAGTCTAAGGGTATGTTTGGCCCAACTAGCTAAAAAGATACTTTTACGAGCTTTTTAGTAACGGTTAACATTTAGTTACTCAAAAATCTTAAAAAGAAAAGGTGACATATATCTGTTTAGTAAAAAGCTGACTTTTTTATTTAGTTCGGTTTGGTATACAAGCTATTAGAGCTAATTGATACTAAAAGTCATGAGTTTTTCTCAGATGCTACACCCGGTAGCATCTCAAAAAAGATCTTTTAATTTTTTAAAAACTCTTAAAAAATGTCATGCCAAACATATAATTAGAATCTTTTAAGGTCTTTTTAAATAATAGAGAAGCTAGCAGCTACAGCCTTTTGTGTGTCAAACACAGCCTAAATGGATGAGCTTAATTGTTACCTTAGGTATTCATTCATTTATTTATGCATCCCAATTCCCACCTACACATAGGGTATGTTTGGCACAACTAACTGAAAAGATACTTTTATGAACTTTTTAGTGACGGTTAGCTTTTAGTGACTGAAAAGATCTTAAAAGAAAAATGCAGTAGCTATTTGATAAAAAGCTGACTGTTTGGTTTAACTCCGTTTGGTATACAAGCTGTCGGGACTAATTAATGCTAGAAGCTACAGACTTATTTGAGATGCTACTCACTATAGCATCTCAAAAAAGATCTTTTATTTTTATAGAAGCTCTTAATAATTTGCATGCCAAACACCCAACTAAAAGCTTTTAAGAACTTTTTAAATAGTACAAAAGCTAGAAGACACTAACTTTTGCATGCCAAACATAGCCATAGTAGTGCAGATATCGTCTTTTAAATGATGAGTTATAGATAGATAAGAAAATATAGTTCTTTAATACCGTAGTATGAGTTTTCAGGGTAAATTTTATATGTACAAGAAATATATTTTTCCTAGAGTTTCATATAACTGTGCAGTTAAATAAGCAGTTATTTTCAAGAATTAATTTGAATGTGTTCTCAATTGAAGTTTTAGCTGAAATTTGGTATGAGTAGACTAGATTTGATGCTCAAAAATTTCCATCAAAAAATTCCACCGGGAACCACCCCAAATCGTGACGGCCAGACAGAGCCTCCTATAAAGGACTTATTTGACCTTTTTATAAAAGTTCGAGGACCTATTTGACAGTTTTCCCTTTTTCTTAATATTTATATGTGAAAAGTATAGAAAAAGTATCTGTAATTTGGGCCGTTTTCAGATAGGGGCATAAATTTCATTTTTTAACGAAGTGTGACATGTGTTTCAATTTTGTTATCACAATTGGGGCATGACCTCTAATGCCGTTAGAAAAATTTAACCCTGATTTTCAAAAGTATTCAAAAAATTAAAGGAAAAATACTAGGAGGTTCGCCTCATCAAGACGACCTCCAGACCATTTTTTTTTGTTTCCAGCCACTCTGTCGCCAGATTGTCAACCGGAAAAGTGAACTCGTTTTTAAAAACAATCCAAATAGAGCCGAAAAAATCAAAGAGGACGATAGTTTTTTGGTCTCCTTGATGAGGCGCACTAACATGCACTTTGTCGTGTATGCACTCAAAATAATAATCAATACGACACTAATACGTAGTATAGTGTAGTAAGGTTCGTATCCACAGGGAAAGGAACACTTTTTCTTTTTATAAAACTAGAAATAAGTAACAAGGGGGGTTTTGATTGGTTGATGAACTTAAATTACATTTAAGCACGAAGATGAACGACTTATGTGGTTTAATTAATGAGAAAGAGACTTGGTTTTGCTTTTATCCACTTAATGAAATGTTCGTCGATCCCGGTTATATCTTTAACTATCTTCCTCTCGAATACTCAATCGAGGAGTATATCCAATTCATCGAGAGTAGTTATTAGAGATAATTACTCTATGTATAACTAAAACTTAATAGGTTTCCCAATCTATGACTTAATCAGTTTTTTCCCTAAAATAATAATAAAATTCGAAATATTTAATTAAATTTTGAAATAATTAAATAGTAAATAATTTTCAAGGACAAATATACCCTTTAGGTTATACCTATAAATCTCTAATCTCCTACTCCTTTTTCTCCAACCCTAGCCCATAGCCTTTCACATATAACTTGCGTCACCCACCCCACGCAGCCGCCCCGTCGAATCTCCATCCGCCGTCTAGCCGCCGCCACCGTCCAACCCCCGCCGCCTTCCACAGATTCTAGCCTAGGAGCACAGCCGCCGCCTTCCAAAGATCAATATTTTCGCCTGGGAGCACAATCGCTTGACCTGGGTGCCAAATCGTTGTCCAACGTTGATGCGTCGCCCTCTGTCGTTGAATCGATGACTAGAATTGGAGCGATGTGAAGGGCGGACTTATGATAGGAGTGGAGCTCAATTCGTATGTCAACAAAAAACTGCGACCTTGGTAGCAAGCAGGGCGTCCATGGTGCGGCGACTACTCGGAGGAGTTGTCTTGGGTGAGCAGATTTAAAATCGATTTGGGGAATCATGGAGTGCGGCCTATTTCAGATCTGGACACTGCAAGTATGGAGAAGGGCCTTCACGATTTGTGCAATTTTGAATTTGATTTTTGTTTTGAGTATTTCTTTTCAATTTAAAATATTTAATTGCTCTGTTGTTCGCATAGTGTTTGTTGAAACACGGAGTGCCTGCATTCTTCTTCTCATTTCTTAAAAAAAAACAGTGAAGGCATGAGTAAGGCACGTTGACAGTAAATATGGGCAGTAAATATGGGCAGTAAATATATGGTAATAATTAATAAATAGTGATGAACATTGGCAATGAACATCAATACATAGTGTTGTACATGGGCAGTGAATGAGAGCATTGAAAAACGTGTTGTGTAATCATTCGAAGGCAATAGACATGCATCTTGTACAAAGCAATGAACGAAAGCATTGAGAAATTTTGTTATGTAGTGATTATGACCTATATTGCAGTAACATTGAGCAGTAATGTCACCATGAAATGTAATATACTTAATTAGATGTAAAATAATAATATTATTAAATCTAAATAAACCACAAATGAATTATTCAAGTTAATGAGAAAAGAACTAATTTTGACGAAAGTGCAATGATAATTACCGCATGTGCAGTAAAGTTGTGCATTGATGTTGTGCATTAACGACAATAAAAAGTGCAGTAATTTTAACTCGACGAAATTAGTGCAAAATACACATATTTTAAACAAGGGCATTTTTGTCATTCAACAATTAAATATAAACGAAATTTCTTATTTTTGTTGAATTTTTGATCATACAAAAGTATAAAAACTAGTTAGGTCATAGATTAAGAAACTCATTGAGTTTTAGTCACATCCCGGTAAATTTCCCTAGTTATTAATAACGAGACGCGTTCATTAATAAAACTTACTACTGAGCCAATATAGAACACGCGCCGTATATTCACTCGATAGTAGCAATAAAATCAAGATGAAAACGATTGAGATTGATAACCTCAACACAAACGGTTTATCGGTTTAATCAATATAATTAATTCCCCTTCGGTTATTAACCATGAGACGCATGCATTAACAACCCAAGTTTACTACCGTGAAAGGGCCGAATTAATACAAGTGTATTAATCGACCGATTCTAGTATTAATTAATATATGAAACAAAACTAGTTGATCCTTTAAGTAATGCCCAAAATATTAATATGAAATAGGAATATGAATTAATTAATATTCAAGGAAGAAGATTAAAGAAAATAACTCACAACTTACAATTCATTAAGCTTCAAAGTAGCAAAACCAAGATGGAAGAGTTTAGCTCCTCATTTGGAGACTAAACATGAATAAAATATAAAGAAATAACTTGTCTAAACTGAGCTTAGAAGTATATAGGAATTGGTGATTTTATTGGGAAGGAAAGGGGTGTATTTATAGGCTTTTGGGAGCTGCAAGATCTGATACCGGACTGGGTATATAGGATACCAGACCGGGTATCTTAGGAAATTGCCCAGAAAGTCAATTTTCTGGGCATACCCGATCGGGTAAGGGTATATACCCGATCGGGTATGTGACAATCTTTATGAAAATTTGCTCCCACGATCATTTGTTTTCGGATTTGATTTGGACAGTCGAATCAAGCAATTACCCGATCGGGTATAGGCAATACCCGACCGGGTACATGAGTATTTTTTCCAAATCGAAATCTTTCTTGCCTCCTTGCACTTTCCTTGATCTTTTAAGGTCCAATCTTGATCCCTTGGATGATCTTTGACCTGTTTAGCTCAGAAAAATCATAATCTAAATAAATTACAAATAAAAATGAAAATAAAGTATTACACCAAAAGTGTGTAATTTCCACAACTAGAACTAATAAAAACTACTTAAAAATACAAACATACAATCGGAAATTACATGAATATCAACT